CTAGTGGAAGGATGATAAATAATACTGAAGTGGTGTATCACTGTGTTCAATGTCAATGGGAGCTCATTTAGGTTTTCTTTGTCAATAGCAACCTTAAATGAACTAAATTTATACTATTCTAATATTACCCCCGTGATCAAATTTACATATACATGTATTATTCTTTAAAGTGAAGTACATATTTAATTTTGTGGGAGTTGTGGAGATTTGGAAATATTTCAAGTTGTTATTCATCGTAGACTGGCATCAGTTGGAGGAACAAAAGAAACCTGGGAGCACTGGACAGCTGTTTCGTCCTAGTATGACCCAGTGGCTCAATGGTAACTCGCTGGCCGCGGAACCTGAGTGTCGCGGGCTGCGCACTGCTGAGGAGTTCCATACCAGGACGAAATAGCTATCCAGTGCTCCCAGGTTTCCTTTGTTCCTCTAACTGATGTCAGTCTACGATGAATAACAACTTGAAGTACATATTTATTGAAAACTAAAGGGTGATGAGACAAAGACTTTTCACCAGTCGATAAAGTCCTTATCTTTTGACCTGAGCTGTTTGGGACAATATAGACTACCTGATTGGGGTCTACAAGACGAAAGAAAGCACTGGTCAAAGACGCTTGGTGTCATACCTGAAATTTGGTCACAATTGGGCAGATGTATTTACTCCCTGACATAATCTAAAGCTTGATTGTTTGCACTAACCTCTATCTTCAGATTGTTTCTTCTCTCACACTACTTTATCTAATGTGATGTAACTGCTTTTCGATCCATTTGTTATTTGTTAACTATTGTGAAGTGTAGGAACTTGCAACGATGCACTTCAATGTGTAGTTCTACATTGGTCAGTCATATAAATGAACCTGACCCAAAAATAGTGTTTTCAGTTAATTTCGAAATAATATAAATTGTACTTTTGAATTTAGAAGTAGTATTCATCACGGAGTGACATCATTTGGCGGACCATTGAAAATCTGGGGGCACTGGACAGCTGTTTCATACTAGTATGAGACTACTCAGCAGTACGCACCCACGACCCGGCTTGGGATCGAAGTCGGGAACTTCAGGTTTCACGGCGAACGTGTTGACCATTCAGTCACTGGGTCGGTTTTCAGTGGTTCATAATTTCCAACTTCTGTCAACTGACGATATAGAGCGACTATCACCGAAGGTCTTGAGTTAGCATGCACTTCACTTCTGACTGGTTGACCACACAGGTCATGAATTCTCATTAGAGCTTCCTGATATCCATCTGGAAACAAGTCACTAATGAGCATAATACAGTAATGTATTTTTGAGATGAATGGGGATTTATTTTAATCCCGAAAATACTCCAGATTTATTGTTTTCAAGATGACAATTATCATCAGCTGACACCAGTTGATGGTATTGGTATTGGAAAACTGTTTCGTCATATTATGAAATTCATCAGTAATATACAACCATGACTAATCCATGGTTCGAGTCCAGTAAGTTCAAGTTGAACCAATAATCTAACTCCCACTACTTCTCCCCTCATTCTTACCAGATGACAGACGAGATTCAGAACAGAAGTAGCTCAATGCTAATGTGATCATCATTCCATGTGAGTGCTCACAGTTCGAGTCTTAGTAAGATAATAGGCGTGCACTGATTACAAGTCCCTTAATAGAACCCAGCAAAATTTTCACTTTCTTAATGGTTCTTGAAATGATATTAGTTTGTAAGGAATACCACTTTGAGATCATTTCTCGACTATTCCATGTATGTTCTACAGGGAGTAGATTCGAGTGAAACTATCATGCATAGACAAAAACATGTTGTGTAACTCGGACATCACTATCACTATGTAATCCGGAGATAAAAATGAAATACAAAGAGAAAAGCATACAAGTATATTTGTAACTTGTTTCACTTATCACTGCTCAAAACTTATTTGGTTCAATTTGAACTATATTGAGTGGAAATGTATCTATTGGATATCATCTCATGAGTTCATTACTACAGGAATAGTAGTTTTATTTCAGACACTTCTATTCCTGTCGACATTTATCCCCCTTAGCACATAGTGACAAAACAAAATGAATAAATCCCATTTTTATTGATTAATTAGATTTATCACACAGTAAAGGAACACTATTATTGACTAGATTACGTTTTGGATATACTTTATTGTCCATAGTCAAATATATAGATAACTATTTCCACAACTTTAAAACATCGACCGTACCATGCATCTGCTTTTAAAGCGTGTTCGCAAACACTACCCAACCTGGCTTACAAAGGGAGAATGGAAATGCACCTTCAGTTCAATAACAGAACACTTTGTGAACTCAGGCCACTTAGCTCCTTTCGAGAGTTTATTTAAAACTCTCTACAGGCCTCAATCAAACCACTGAAAGGGAGTAAAATTAGGGCATCTGTCTACAGCTGAAGCATTAGCCATCCAGAAGTTCAAACTAGCGTTATGCGTTCAAAAAAGTTACCTTCAACCTTTATCTTTGCAATGGTCATCATATAGCCCTGTCGGCTACAAATTCATTTTGTATCAAATCGAACCTGCAATACGTAATCACAATCTTATTTTCATGATCCTCTGTTTATTCTCATACTCTGTCATAGGTTTATCCGACATTACATGATTGCAATTTCATCTCCATAACCCTTCGTTCAGTTTCCTACTTTGCCATACCTTCATCTTGTCTATTTTCCCACTCTAAACACAAATGTGTATCAATTAACTTCCTTTCATCATTCAATATATTTTGACCCCTGACCGGAAACAATTCTGGAACATTCTACCTACTGTAACATATATACTCATAAATGTACAACTTAGTAAATGACTTCGTCGAGAAGAAAGCGTTTTCTTCACTGAAACCATATCTTGTCTTTTCCTATGATTAAATGGGTGTATTAGGATTTTAAAACGTCCTTTATATAGTCCTAATTTCTTTGCCCCCTTTGTCATAACATGAGTAGTAAGATTTTCCATATAACCCGGAAACAGTTACTGAATCATTCTTAGTGCTACATGTGTTAGGTGTTGATTCAATAAACAAAGATTCAGTTATCAGTCTCTACCTCCATCGTACTGTGTTAGTTTCAAGTATTTTCACCATGTTCCATCCAATCGTATTGTTGTGTGGAATCGTATGCATATCTATGGCTGAGCTTTCCTCTAAATTCCTACCAATTTCGACTTAGATATGTTTTTGTGTTTGGATAGTCTAACTGACCAGTGGTCGATCGATTACATAAGTAATACAATTATTATTAGTAGTAATAATAGTGGTAATAACAGCAACAAGAGTAGTAACAATAGTTGGGATAGTAATGTCAATAATAGTAGTGGTAATACTGTAAAGAGAGAATTCAAAAACCTCTACAGTAATGCTGCTATACAAAGAACGCATACCCCAGAAACACTATGTAGGATTTTCAATAAGGCTAGCTGGAATTAGAGTAGCCATAAAAAAACCTACAAAATCACGTTGAAATGGGCTCCGTTGGCTGGAAGATCCTACTGACCCAATTAGTCAAAATAACTTAGTTTACCAAACCTCCTGCAACGATTAAGAGGTCAAGTACATAAACCAGTCAAAGTAGTCGATCCAAACACAAAAACATATCTAAGTCGAAATTGGTAGGAATTTAGAGGAAAGCTCAGCCATAGATATGCATACGATTACACACAACAATACAATTGGACGGAATAGAGTGAATATCCCCAAAACTAACCTAGTGGGACAGAATGAGAGACTGATAACTGAATCTTTGTTTACCGAATCAACACCCAACACATGTAGCACTAAGAATGATTTAGTAACTGTTTCCGGGTTATATGGAAAATCTTACTACTCATGTTATGACAAAGGGGGCAAAGAAATTAGGACTATATAAAGGATGTTTTAAAGCTGTGGAGTTTTAGTATTATAATTATTTTTCCCTTGGGTTCTTAGTGGAACATACGGCTTCATTGGCACGCATTCATTCCACTCTCTTCTCTGCGCCACGACTGCCAACAAGATTTCATTTCTTCCTCACACCGTCTCCTCCGCGTCACCCTCAGCTAACAGCTTAGCTGGTCATTCCCTCTTTGGATTCCGCCTAGGGGCATGGCCTGGCGCCTGATGTCCCCAGTCGGCCTTCTCAGTGTGTGTCACATCCAATCCATCTCCACTTTCTTCTAATGCGTATTTGTTGGGCGATAAGTTCTTCGTTGGTTGGTTTGTTGCCAGACCGCAGTTCCTTGTTGCTTATTCTTGTTATTCTGGCAGGTATCAGCATCGAGCGTAGGTAACTGTTGATAACGTTTGTCTATAGTTTATTGGAAGGGTTTCTCGTGACACGTCAAGTTTCTGAACCATATAGCAGCACTGACTTGACTGACATTGGTGTTGAAAATCCGGATGTTGTTCACGCTTTGTGCTGAGTGCAGCATATCTCCAGAATAATAAAATCTTGTCTTGGTTTTCTGATCGCACCTTTTATATCCTCATCTGTGCCTGTGTCGCCAATAGTTGAAACGATGCGGCCTTGCCTAGGAAGCAATGTGAAAAAGACAGCTTCCTTTAAGTTTCTTCCGTTGATGGTGATTGGTGCTTGTTGTTGTTGGTGGTGGTGGTTGGGTATCTTCATCACCCACGTCTACTTTACATTCACTTGAAGTCCCTTTTTCGCTGCCTCACCTCTTCTGTCAACTTGTTAGTTTTCGCCTATAGATCTTCGAGTTTATTCAACAAGACATTAGACATAAATCATCATCGTTAGCGAAATCCAAATCTTCTAGGGTCAAGTTGTGGAATTAATTATCTTGATATATGACTATTGACAACATAAATTATGTCCAAAACGTAATCCAGTCAACAATACTATTTCATATTGTTTGATAAATCTAATCAATCGATAAAAATGGAATTACATTTCACTATGGTGGACAAATTTTTACTCTTATAAAAATCAATAAATCGCTTAAAATTTTGTAAAAATCCATTGAAAACGATAAATACAGTGTATTGTCTACTTACATTTTTATCTTGACGTCGAATTGCATCATATACTTTCCAGACTAATTCAGGACCAAAACTTCCGACTTGTTTTTCGATAATAAAATATCTAGTAATTGGATTTGTTGGAAAATCAGATACATGATGACCATCATTCCCAGTTACTAAGGCGTTTTCAGTAACAATACCATCAATTGAATTATTATTAGTTAAATTATTGATGTGATTATTTACAAATGATGTATTCATTAAGAATAAGTGGTGTATTGCAGTCGGTTGGAAAACATTCGTAAAGAAAACAATGAAAAGAGATGTAAATATCTGTTTACTTTTCGAGCTATTTCAGTTGAGTATAAATAATCTATTTCATAATATGTTTACTCTATATCGAAATGATGAGAATAGGATATTGCATGTTTGCACAAATTTCTTTCATGATGTGAAAAACTAGTTGGAAATTCTGTTTATATACGTTATTTTCTGTTGTAGATTACTGTTTCATTACCTTTTTAACCAATCAAATTGTAGACATAGTCAACCAATCAGGTGTTTAAAATCTGATTTGCTGATGAAAGTGAATAAGGAGAATATTAGCTCAAATGTGTAATAGTTTCGAGTTGTATGCACACGTCAAGATATGATCTCTTCTACCTATGTTTTGTCTTATTTATAAAGAGTGACCTTAATTACTACGTTTACAAGGTATTGTACATCTTAATTAGATTAGTCATGACTTGTAGTGAAATTCAGGATATGCATATCGCACTGTTTTCAACAACTATATGAAGATGCCACATGCCAGACAAGTAATTCACAATGGGAAGCTCAGTGATGCTTTTGAAGTGAAGACAGGAGTGAAACAAGGCTGCCTACTGCCCCCATGATATTCCTGATTGTAGCCGACTGGATCATGCAGCAAATAGTGGGGAACGATAAGAGGGGGATACACTGGACTGCGGAAAAGAACCTAGAAGGCTTGGATTTCGCCAACGATGACTTGTGCCTGATGTCACACAAACTTGAAGATCTACAGGCGAAAACTAACAAATTGGCAGAAGAGGTGAGGCAGCGAAGACGGGACTTCAGGTGAATATAGAGAAGACAGAGGTGATGAAGATACCTCACCACCACCAACAACAACAAACTCCAATCACCATCAACGGGAGAAACTTAAAGGAAGTAACCTGCTTCACTTATCTAAGAAGCACCAGGTCAACTTCAGGCCGCAGTGGCACAGACGAGGATGTCAAAGTCAGCCAGGATCGGAAAAGCAAGACAGGCATTCATTAGCCTGAAACCAGTGTGGTGATCTTCTGCACTCCACTCAGCATAAAGTGTGAACGACATTCGGATTTTCAACACCAACGTCAAGTCAGTGCTTCTGTATGGTGATTGAGAGACTTGGCGCGTCACGAAAGAGATTTCCAATAAACTACACAAATTCATCAACAACTGCTTACACTGGCTCGCTACTGAAGATCAGATGGCCAGAATAGCGAGAATAAGCAACAAGGAGCTCTGGCTGCTGAAGAACTAACCAAGAACCTATCACGCAACAAATATGCAGGAGGAAGTGGAGATGGATTGGGCATACACTGAGAAGGCCGACTGAGGACATCACGCGTCAGGCCAGACACTCGAGTGGAATCCCCATGGGAAGCGACGAGTTGTACGTCCGACGGTGACATGGAGGAGGTCGTGCGAGGAGGAAATGAGAGGTTGTGGGCTGTCGTGGAACCAGGTTCAAAAGATCTCAGAGAACAGAGGTCACTGGAGACGTTCTACTGAAAGCGTATGTTCCACTAGGAACCCAAGGGACTAATAATAATAAAATAATATCGTCCTGTTTAGGACTTGTTATTTGTATATACTTACATCTCCATGAGTGACGACATTCCTACTAGGAATTCATGCCAATGGTTATCTTTTCAAACGTTGAAATATTATCTATTAGGCTACTGAGACAAGATGGTCACCTCGTGTTTAACGGGTATCAAATATTATTCTACCAGGCATATCCAACTCAAGCGTTACAAAATATGTGTTATGCATTAGGTTGTTGGCCACTATCGAACGAATCATCACATTATAAATCTTCAGGTAATACTGATGCATACAGCTTGAGGTACGGTATGCCAAAAAGTGATTATCTTTTCCAAGAATTTACAAGTATCAGTCGAAGATTATGAGTTTGTTTTGTATCCCACAAGCCTGTATAAATTCTTACGTCCACTGAAGTAACACTGTCTCCTATGTAGGTTAGTTGAAGATTTGATAATAACAGTCGACTTGACAGACTTGTTGGAGTTATTCTACAGTAAACTCTGATCGACTTGTAATCTTGCTGCTTGTTTAATCAAGTGGATTTTACAATAGAATAGTAAATACTTGATAACATTTTTCGAAGACAATTTGACATGTCCTTAATTAAAGTAAATGTTCACTGGTGCAGCTTGAAATACTTTTCAGTTGACCAATAAAAAAGTTCTCTTCAGAAAGAAAGCTTATTCTTGAAAGTATACACAAAATCTATTGAGTAGTAAGTTCCCAGACCTTAAACTAGACACAGAACAAGTGACTGAGAAGCAGACGAAAAGTGATTCGGATTGACTGGTCACGGGAGTGTAACCAATTTCATGTTGTCTAGTCCTGAGTGAACACCGAATTCCATCCATTATATTTGCAATGTGGCAACCATGCTAGGAAGCTCAGCATCGCGGTACACATGAGTAGATGTTAGTTGGTTGGAGGCAATCAGCAGGAAGCTCTGATCGAACGACGTTTCGTGCTGATTCTCGGCACTCGTCAACAAGGCGTATCTGCAACCTCGATGGAACTGAGATGCCACCTGAGATTCAAACCCACATCACTCAGGAATAGAAAACATGAAATTGGTTGCACTCCTGTGACTAATCAATACATGTAATCCAGTCCTACAGGAGGTCAATTGCGGCCCAAATAGCTCAGTGGTGAATTTGCTGATTACAACACTGAGTGACGCGAGTTCGAATCTCAGGTGGGATATCAGTTCCGTTGAGGCTGCAAATACGCCTTGTTGATGAGTGCCGAAAATCAGAACGAAACCTAGGTCGATCAGGGCTTCCTGCAGATTGCCTCCAACCAACTAAAAGGTGATTCGTGTAACGATTACGTCTGCTCCTTGTAATCACATTCTGTGGATACTTAGGGTTTGTGATAACTTTGGGATTGTGTAGTATCCTGCAACACTTAGGAAATTGTTGGATGTCTCCCCAAAAATAAGTACTTTCATACGTTATTGATCGATAAATTTGTTTCTCAAGGCTACAGTTGAGAAGAATAATCACTGGTCTGTTTACAAAATAATAACTATGATACAAGAGACGTTTAGCAAAGAGTCACCCTTTTGGTTACAAAGTTAAATGACGTAATATGGCGACAAAAATAAAAAATTATGGGAGTGGAACAAAGTAATGTGTAAGAAGATCTGAATGAAAAGATTTTTAAGGATGACAATGTTCTTAGATATGACTTCCACTGCAACTCAAGTGATTGGACAAATTTCGTTTGATTACGCAGTTAGGCTTCAAAATTTTACTTGCTATGAGTTCGACAGTTTGAAAACGTTTTAGGCGTACACTTTTCACGAGACTTGCACAAACTCTATAGGTGATACTGAAGTTGTTTTCTGCATTTACCCCGGGTAGTTATAATCTATAAAATGTTTTATAAAGGAGCTATGAAGTATTTTCCTTTCTCTTTTGTGGAAGTAGGTTGGCATATGTTTGGAAAGCGAGCGCTGAGTATGTTTAATATACCTTTCCTCCATAGGAGCAGGTGAACTGATAAACATAAAACGAGGTTGCCTGAGGAGACAGCCTACGCTTTATACATAATTGTAGCATTGGATGAGTGAAGGAGGTTAATCTGAGTTTGGCAGCATAGAAAATCTTTCTCAGTGAGCATACCACACGGTTCCTCAATATATATACTAATGTCTTCATTGAGGTATAAGCTCATAAAAGAGGCTTCTTAGGAGCCATATGAATGGAATGATTATTTGCTTTCAGTTCCATGGTTCTAGCGATGCAACACCCAGGATACTGGCTTTCAATCAAAAAATCTTCTCAGAAATTACATCCATCTTCCATTGTATCAGGAGGACTGCAGATAGTGTGGGTCCGATGGCAAATAGACCGTATTCGATTTCATTTGGTGCACAAAGGCACCGAATCAGGAAAATTCGTAAGTTGCCAATTCCATGTAAGTTTTCTGTGAACAGACCTACCAAGTAATTCATAGTCTTGTCATTTCAGTTGCACATCTAGAAGGTATATCTTGGAATCAAGTTATTAAAATGAAGCAGAATATCTTCTAGATTATCTATACTAGTGGAGGTAATGGAAATATCATCTACTTGTCGCCTCTGAAGTTCGAACTGCCTGATCATACTCCTTAGGTGTGAGTTCTCTAGTTCCGACATGAAAAAGTCTACGGGTAAGGGGCCCAATGGTGATCCTATAGCTACACCATCTTTTTATCTGCATATTTCAGTAATGAACAGAAACTGGATGTTCATGGTGCATTTCATAACAGCTCCTTCAGATAATGTGTTGGTATCCCAGCATTCAATCTATTAGAATTGATATGGTCACATATGTAACATATTGTCCCAGTCAATGAGGCGCTAGTAAAGAATGAGACAACATCTAAAGAGAACATAATTTTGTCAGAAAAATTTACATTGTTGATAAAATTGACAAAATTGAAAGGGTCACAAATTGTATGAAGTGAGACTTGTCTTCTTATAAGTTCTAAGATTTTGACTGACCACTGTGTAATACGATGAAAAGGCGATCTCGTCATGTCGAGAATATGTCCGTACAGTCTCAGAGGATAGTTGACCCGGATTGTCGTAAAGATTGTAATAATTCAGAATCTATGAAGGAATCGATCAATAATTTTCGAAGAATGTTGGTTAGTTATTTTTTTTCAATTTGCTCCAACTTATTTTTCTCACTGATGAATTTTTATAAACTTGGTTTCATCAGGGAAGGTAGATAAGATTTTATCTATATCTTTTTGGCTAACTATTAATACAATAACCGCCTAATTGTCAGGATGCACCATTTATAACTCCTCAATCCTCTAACTTCTTCTCATTATTTCTTAGTTAATATGGATTGACCATTCGACTTTGTTTTAATGAACTTATGACAAATGTCAAAAAACTGTCGACTTGAAGTGTTCCAGTTGCTCTTCGAATGAAGGTAACAGGCTATGAATTTGATTTATAAGGTTTATGAAATGTACTTATGTATAAAGTTAGCTGATGTTTGGAAACTTAGTAGAAAATTTAGAATTCAGGGATTATGCTTATGGTTGAATTGTCGACAATTAAGTATCTGATAAATTGAAAACATATGATACTTTTGTGACATAATCTTCAAGAGATTGGTGTA